ATCTTCCTTCATAATCCATCTACCTGAAATTTCCTCTTTACCTGGGGGGAAAAACTCTGAATTTCTTAGTGACATTAATAGTGAATTAAAATCCCATTTCCTGTTTGTGCATTTTATCCCACTCCCTTATTACAATCCTCGTGTATATACTCGTGCTCTCCTCTAATTCTCTGAACTGTGGTGGCACCCATACACTCCTACCCAGAGCCTTTCTACTAAGTGTATTTTCAATTGTGACCCAGTGTTTACTCTGAGTTATGTGTCCAGTCAAAAATTCTTGCTAAAATTACTGCCCTATGGTATCTTTTAAAGTCCGGTACTCCCAACCCCCCTTTTTCTTTATTTCTGCTTAGCACTTCATATGATATCCTAGGTTTTTTATTTTTCCATATATATTTAGTTACCATTCTCTTAATTGTCCTAAAATACACCTCTGGAAGATTAATGGGAATCATCTGGAATTTATACAGTATCTTCGGGAGAATTACCATTTATCAGGTTAATACGGCCCAGTCAGGAAGGATTTCCTCCACCCATTTTCCTCAATTCCTCTCCGATTTCGTTTAACATTGGGATATAATTAGCTTTATAAAGATTTTTCTGTGAGGGAGTAAGTTTTACTCCCAGGTACTTTATTTCTCTATCTTTCCATATAAAGGGAAACTCTCTCTGTATATTTTCTTTTTCGCTCTTTGGAAGATTTATATTTAATATCGGTTTTGCTCGGGTTAATTTTTAGATTTGACATTTCCCCATATTCCTTCAGTGTTTTCATTAGGTTAGGAAGTGTTATCCTCGGGTTTCCAACATAGAATAATAAATCGTCCGCAAAAGCGGCTATCTTATGTTCTGTCTTTCCAACATTTATTCCCCTTATATCTATATTTTTCCTAATTGTTGATAACAGGGGTTCCAATGATAGAACAAACAACAGTGGGGAAAGTGGGCATCCCTGTCTGGTTCCATTTGACATAGAAAAAGTCTCTGATCTCTCTCCATTTACCATTACCATCGCGGACGATCCTTCATACAACTTTCCAATCCACTTTCTCATCCTACCACCCAATCCCAGGACCTCCAGTGTGTCCATCATAAAACTCCAGTTAACCCTGTCGAACGCCTTCTCCGCATCTATCGAGAGCAGCACTACTGGATTTTTTTCCATTTTACTTTTCTGTATAAGCATCAGGGATCTCAACCCATTATCTCGACCCTCTCTTCCTCTAACAAAGCCCACCTGGTCTCCATGTATCCAATCTGGCATCAGATCTCTTAACCTATTCGCCAATACTTTTGCATACAACTTTGTGTCTACGTTCAATAGCGATATCGGTCTATAACTTGAGCAGTGGGTGATATCTTTACCTTCCTTATGTATTAAAACCACCTGTGCCAGAAGGGATTCCTGTCTTATCTCCATCTCTCCCCCCAACGCCTCCATATATCTCTTTAACTTAGGTAACAGTAAATCACTATATTTTTTTATAATACTTCACGGTATACCCGTCTGGGCCTGGGCTTTTTCCCGTCTTAAATCTTTTTAATGCTATTTTTAGTTCTTCCTGTGTGATTTCAGATTCTAAGGAGTTTAATAATTCTTCACTTAATTTTGGTAATCCTGCATTTCTTAAATAATCCCTTCTTTTTTCAATATTTATCATTTTATCTTTATTTATAACATCCTTGGGGGCAATATTATATAATTTACTGTAGTAATCTTTAAATACCTTTGCAATGTCTTTGGTTGAATGGACTAACTCTCCCTTGGAGTTTTTTTTTTTATCTATATAGTTCCTATTCTTCTTTCTCCTCAAGGCTCTCATCAGATATTTTCCTGATCTATCTCCCCATCTATATCTTTCACCAATGATCTTATTAAAAGTTCTCATTTTTTCTTCCTCCATTACTTTCTCTAGTTCTTCCCTCTTTTTTATCACTCTTTGCTCTCTTTCCTTATGTTATTTTTATGTAGGAGTTCCATCTCAGCTATTTCCTTCAAAAGCCCACTAATCTTCTCTCGTCTTTCCCTTTTTTTCTTTGCCCCAATCGCAATAAGGATTCCTCTTACATATGCTTTATGTGCCTCCCACAAAGTAGCTAGTGATACATCCCCTGTTTCATTTTCCTCAAAGAACCTCTCTATCTCCTCCCTGATCTTCCGGTCAGTATCTGGATCCATGAGGAGTGTCTCATTCAACCTCCATGATAGGCCTCCTGACAACTTCCCTCCCCATCTTAATTCCATTACTACAGGTGCATGGTCCGAGAAAGTTATTGCTTCTATTTTTACTTTAACCAAATCCTCAACGAGTCGATGGTCCACCAAAATATAGTCCAATCTAGAGTATGTCCTATGTACACTAGAGAAGAAAGTGTAATCTCTATCTCTCATGTTGACAATTCTCCAGCTATCCACCAGTTGGCACTCTTTCATCACCGTTTTCAATAATCCCATGGACCTATTTCCCCCTCTCTGTACTACAGATGTTGTATCTATTTGTGGATCCATACATATGTTAAAAGTCTCCCGCCACTATTAGATATCCCTTTCCAAAGTCCATCAATCTTCTCATAACCCCTTTCAAAAACATCTCTGGCTTCCTATTGGGGCAATATATGTTTACAAGCGTACATTCTATGTCCTGTAGTTTACCTTTCAAGAACAAAAACCTCCCCTCCGGGTCCGTCTTTCTATCTTCCAATTCAAATCTAATGTTTTTTGCAAATCCTATAGCTACACCCTTAGCACTCTTTAACTAAAACTAAACTAAGCTCACTTTTTAAAGAGAAAAAAAAAAAAAAAAAAGTGGGAAAGGATATATAAAATGCACATTTTGTCTCTTGAAAAAACATGCAGTTACTTTTTTTTTTCCACAGGAGCCTGCAAAGCACTGCACCGAAGACCAGTGGATCACAGGTGCAACATCAGGCTCCGGAAAACTTTTCCTCCAGCTCTCTCCTGTAGCTCTGTATGGGTTTTCAGTTAAAGAGCCGGATGAAGGGTCAATGAACTAAAAGTGTTGATTTCTGTATCTATGTTCCATTGAAAACTACACATCTGTCCCTGTGACCTTCCCTCTTCTAGCAGTTTGTGATTACACTTGTAAGACTACTCCGCTGAGATCTGTGCTGTGTAGCATTACTGCTGCACAACATCTGCTGAAAATCTGTCAGCCAGTGTGGTTTTCACTCATGCTCACAGTTAAACATTTCAATGGAAGCCGATACACCACCTAGAAAGGCAGTAAATGGACTTTGTATTGAAGAACTGCAAGAAAAAGAAAAAGTTCAGTTTTGATAACATTACATCTGTATCCAGGGTGTAAAAATGTTACTAATGAGCAGCACCCACAACACCCCCCCCCCCCCGTTGCCCTGGTGACAGCGCGCCAGGGATCTTCTCCCCGCACACGCTGTCACGATTTAATTTAAAAAAAAAAAAAAAAAACCCACGGCTGTGTGGGGCTCCGCCCACCCAGCCACATCATTCATTCAGACGCAAGAGAACTACAACTAGTCAGCCATTGTGGACGATTTCTTGCAGTTCTCAATGAACTACCAAGGAGTGGATAAGCACTCTAGGTAGTTCATTGATGCTTCCGGTCATTAAGTAGCTACCTGCCTGTCTGCAGGAACCTGAGATTGCACTCACAATCTGCTGATTGTGGGTGCAAAGCTTCTAATAAAATAATTTATTAATGTACTTTTTTTTTATCCTGCAAAAAAAAGTGCTTTTTTTTCTTAAAAGGTGAAAAGTCTTCTACAGAGAGTACAATATTTTAATGGGGGGGGGAAAAAAAAATGCACCATTTGTTGTGGTTGTGTTCTCTCCACAAACACTACAGTAACTCGGTTAAGTTAGAATCATATATTTATATTGGATGATTGAAACACATAAACAGAGTCAGATATCATATGTACTTATTTATTTACAATCCATGTCACTCGTGGCTAGGAAATTCTTTGTCAAGACGGTCCACTGAACCTAAAATGGAGTTTAAAAAAAAAAAAAAAATCCATAATGAGAACAACAATACATATATGCACACACACATACTATATATATATATATATATATATATATATATATATATATATATATATATATATATATATATATATATATATATATATATATATATATATATATATATATATAAAAACTGGTGCATCAGAAAGCGTTTACAGTATCACGGTTTTTCATACTGTTACTTAATCATCACATGCACAATAATTGTTTTCATGATTCAGATTTTTTTTTTTAATTATTACAAGTTTTGTAAAATTAACAAAGCTCATATGCAAATATTCATTTCTCATAATTTCCTAAAGTTGTGTTCCTAAAGTTCACAATTGTGAACCACCAAACCTTTCAATACAATCAGGTCTTTTTACTGTGGTCTACAGAACACAATACTGATTTCTTTAGAGAAACCAATTAACAGACAACCGACAGATCTCCTGTTGTTCTGGCTTCACTAGATGCACAGTAGTACTCAAATGACTAAAGTAAAAAAGACAGCCAGTCACCTTTCATTTTCAGATTAATCAATAGTGGCAGCCTATGTGCATTTCTTAGTACATTTCCTTCAAAAGAACAGCATATGAGGCTAGTGTGAAGTAAATCACAGTAGTCAGCCACAAAAAACAAAATTAAGGGCTGGATTTCAAAGAGCACCTACTAACACTGGCAACCCAAACCTATACACATAGTGCACTCATGGATATAGATACAGATGAATTCCAAGACCTCCTTTGCCTTGCAGACAAATTAGAAGTGTCAAGTACAATATACAGTGACCAGTTTGCACTGTATCTTTTACATGCTTATTCCCAGGCAACTGGCTTTCCTGCATGAAATTCACCAGCTTGTGTCCTATATATGCAGCCAATGCAGACAGATGAAACTATTCCAACAGAATTACAATGCCTGACTGGCAATAAAAATAGTTTTGGGGACCCTTACATTAGATGCCTACCTTAGGTTTTCTTCTCATGGTTTATTTTTTCAGAAGCTGATGCCTGACGATCAGGAAGGGGGCAGTAAACCCACTACCGAAGAACAAACTCATTACAACTAGTAGCCTCCATTTGTTTTCCACAGAAAAGGGCAGTTCTACAAGACACAAGAAGGAAAAATTGAAACAAACTAGAAAATTAAGCAAACTTTTAGTGGACCTCAAGTAATAGTAAACAAGTTATAATTGGTACATCAGAAAGCGTTTACAGTATCACAGGTTATCTCATACTGGTATGTTATCATCATCTGTACCACTTTATCAAGGTTTTAACATTCAAATAAGTAATGTGTTCGCATGAAGCAAACAATAAATGAACATTATTATATAAATACGGTATCTCCTAACCCTAACTCACTAAAATTAAATAACTTATGACATAAATAGAAAAAACTTTCACCTTGAAAGTGCCAATAATCATATAACATCTCTATTATGTATGAAGTACTACCCACCAAGTGCTATAACGCAACCCAGTAACTAGTGCGGCTGGGTGTTCCGATGTATCTATCCCTTATGACTAAGTCCCAGATGTGACGAAACTCGTCAAGGGAAGTGACGTCGGAAGCATGAGAGCAGGGACTGGAAGTGGTTTGTGTGGCGGCCATTTTTGAGACTGGAACCGCATGGATATCCACCTGGAAGCTGCTTGGTAACCCTCAGAGCTTTGGACATAAGAAAAATGCTTGTTTTTATTTGTGTATTATGTAAGTAGATTTATTAAGAGTTATATTTATAACTGCTAAACGGAAATACACTATATACTTATTCATATATTATTTGGATGGATACCTGAGAGTTCCTGAGAAGACTCATGTATAACCATGATGGGATGGTATTATGATTGATACGCTTCAGGAGTGGAGAAGAGAGGAAGCGTGGTTCTTCTGCTGATTCCTTCTATTTTTGAGAAGGCATGTTATCTTATTCTTTCTGGTAAGGGTATATTTGCCTTGTACAGTAGAAGTGACACTGGTGGGATCACTGGAGATGTATGCACAGAGTAAAGCATATCACTGATTTTTTGCACAGTGTTGATTTATGTTTTCACTATTTTGGCACTATATGCATTTTGCACATTAAATAGTGGTATTGCTATGATTTATAGGTTTATTAAGGTAATACACTATTTTGAGCTTCTTTTTGGAGGTACTCTCTATCTTCGTGGGAGCCAGGGGAAGGGCTCAACATTTAAAGAAATATCAAGTTGGAGTGTGGACACTTATAATATATTTTTTAATGTAAATTGGACTTTTAGTGACATTGGGTACTATTACATTTATTTATTTACTATTTTTTGGAGTGATAATTTTTGTATGATTTTCCATCAAGGGGGTTTTACTGATGTTGGATGAATTACTGCCAAGTAGTAGCATTATAAATTTAGTTACTGGGTTGGGGTATAGCACTTGGGTAGTACTTCATACATAATAGAGATGTTATATAATAAATGAACATTACCCACCATACAGACATATTGTCTATCACATGAATAGATCAGATTTCCTAGCATGACTGAAAATGTTAGGTGTTAAGGCTACATTTCAATTGACAAAACATGTCACTTTTCTTGCAAAAACGCAGTACATTGCTTGATAGAGGTTCATTCATCAAGCAAAGCAAGTACAGCAACAGTCTCTCTTTAACCATATCTTAAATAATTATAAACTGCAGTGCTGAACCAACACCAAATTAAAAGTTGTTGGCACCCCCCCAACTCAAACTCTCCACCCCCCCCACAAAAAAAAAAAAAAAAAAGCTGCATGGGCAAAAAGAAAAAATCTCTGGACTGCACATTAAAGAGGAAGTTAGAGTGGAACTATGTCTCTTCTGCAATTACGTTCCTGTATGCACTGCTCAGTGCACAATTTCGGCAATGCTTGGAAACTACCGCGCATGCACCAGAGAGATGTCATCTTCACCCAGCCAATGAAAATGCCTGAAGCTCGGTATTGGGAAGCTGACTTGCCAAAGGAGTATAATTCCACTTTAATTCAACATTGGAGTGGGCACTTGCCATAATATGCAAAGCATACTTGCACATTATGGCACACTGACCCCTGCAAGCCTTCCTCTGGAAACACTGCTCCATCTGACACCAACAACCGCTGCCATTTTTTCTAGGTCATACAGAGATCCTTCAGCCATAGATGATGTAACTCTTGTACGTGCAGACAGGCACTGCATTGTTCCTGGCACCCAGTTGTAAGTTTGGCACACCGGGGGTACACTGCATGACACATTATGGTAGGTAGGAGACACAGGCTGCTAGAGAGTATGATTAATTATTTTCTCTGGCATAAAACTGGATTATTTTTAAGAGACTGCTGGCGTCTAACAGAATTTCAAATGTCATTTTCTGTGTTGTTTTACATACTATATATTTCATTAACCCCTTAGCGTTGGCACCTCCTGCCCTTTTAAGGGGCTTCTGAGATGACCATTGTGACTGGCTGTCACATGTAGAGATCAGCAGCTGTTAGCCGCATTTGTGTACTGTCTGCGAACAGATTAAAGCACCATCCAGTGATCCTACCAAAACATGCCCTTGTTCAGGCACTTTCTGCTACAGGGTGACAACTGTAACACTCCTGTGTTGCCCCTGTCACATGCACCCTTCATGGAGAGTAAACAGTCCCAGTGTAGGCATGGTGCGCTTCATCAACAATTAGCAAGATGGTGCAGAGTAATGAAGTGCACACAACACTAGTGCAGGGGCCTGTAGTCCCCATTCACACAGCAACATTGGTGTGGCAAACTCAAGTGATTGAGGCGCATTTTTAGCTCACTTGTCAAGCAGGAAATGATTGTCAGACAATCCCATATACACTGCTGTGCTTCAAGACACGACAAAAAGCAGTCCTCAGCTCCATTCCCCAGAGTCTTGAGGCAGGAATCTCAGACGGGCTGGGTAAAAAAGTCTGGAACACACCTTAGCCCTCAGGGGGGTGCTGGGTCAGCCCCCCAAAAGAAGAAAAAAAAAAATACAAAAAGTTAAAACTTCCCTACACCTGAAGAAAGTGTAGCATGCCCATGGTCCTGTAGGGCCTCCACCATGGTGGAGGAAATACTACAGCTGAGACCACGGTGGAAATGTCCTACCTAATAAAGACTGACACCGCAGTGTTTCCTGGGAAAGTGGGTGAAGCTACACTATCTCTCTCGAGGTGCCGTCCTGAAAGACAATTTGGGAAAATAGAACATGCCACATTATGCAGGCAATACCCCTGAAACTGTGCCCCATAGAGGTGAATGGAGCGAGCACAATGTAGAGCAGTGATTGTCAACTTATGAGCTAAAGGGGGCCTCATGATACATTTATGGCTGAGGATATGCTTCGGAAGACAATGTGAATCTGGGAAAATGTTACATGAGGCTAGTAGAGATCAATGCTATTACCCTAATCATTGTTCCCACTACAGACTTCTGAGGTGCAAGGGCCACACATCATATACCATGGGCTGCAGGTTGGGTACCTGGGGTGTAGAGGCATTTAGTCGGCACAAGATGTCTCTTTAGACAAGCATGCAGGAGACAACATGTCCTCTCCCTCCTGATCACCTGCTATCCAAGTGCCAGCCACTGCTCACAACAACATCTAGGTCCATGTGAGAGAGAAGGCCAGAGACTGGAAATTAGAGATGCACTGATACCGAATGTTCTCACGAGTAATTGTGAAAATGCTCCCGATACCTGAAACCGATACTTTGCAATCTGTGTCCATACAAAACAAATGGGCGCAAATCACACTGCAAAGAATGGCATGTGATTTGAACAGGAGGAATGCGGTGCAATTCCTGTCCAAACTGCATGCGGTTTCCTGCACCATTCCTGTATGAACCTAGGCTGAAAGCACTATGACAAGCCTGAGTTCACACAGGAGCGCTGGGGAAAACCGTATGCGATTCAGACAGGAATCGCACCACATTCCTATTCAAAACGCATGCCATTCTTTACAGTGCAATTTGTGCAAATTGCACTGCAAAGTATCAGCACTTGCTATAGGAGAGTACTTGATCCAAAGTATCGGTACTCGTACTCACCAGAAAAATAAAACAAAAACAAAAAAAAAAAAAAAACCCACACAAAATAAATAGGATAAAAAGGAAGTCTTTAAGCCTATGTGTTTAGCAGAAATACATTACAGTCCATTTAACATGGTTTCCTATGGGACACATTCACTTCCATGCTTTTTTTCAGCCGCTGCATTTTTGGAAAGGGTCAGGGACTTTAAGGCTCCATTCACATGCAGCCCTGGCTTTTCGTCAGCTAGAGGGGGGAGGAGTAGACAAGTCCGCTCCCCAGCTTGTGCTGACCCGGAAGTGATGTTATGATGTCACTTCCGGGTACCAGTTGAGAGATTGTAATGCAATTCCCGGTAAACAGCAATCCCTAGTGGAGCAGAGGGGAGACATCCAGGGTCTTTTAGACCTTAGATGTCTCAAAGAGAACCTGACACCAGAACTCACATGATTGAAAATGTTTTTTTTTGTAAACAATTAAAGTTACACCCAAGCACATACCATCCCCCCCCCCCCCCGCCCCTAAAAAAAAAAAATATTGAGGCCCCCACATATACACACGTACAAATGTAAAAGCACACACTAGGGCGCCTATGCATGAAACCGGCGATTGCGATACACGTTACATATCGCCGCACATGCCAGAATGAGAGTAATAATTCTAGCACCAGACCTCCTCTGTAATGCTAAACTGGTGACCTGTAAGGAGCTTTAAAAGTGTCGATCTATAGAAAATATAGGGTACTGAAGTTCGTCGCACACAAATTTAAGGTTTGACAAGTTGAATATCTAATTACTCGCTGCAACCTCATCTTTTATATTTTACAAAACAATAAAGCAATTTATTGCTTTTTGCGCCCTAAATTTAACTTACTTGTAGGATTTACTTAACTTTTGCAATAATATCATGTGACATTAAAAAAAATGGAACTATCACTATTTTATTCTCTAGGGTCTCTGCTTTCAGAAAATATATCATGTTTGGGGTTTTTATGTAAAATTTAGGCCTAAAATGATTTTTTTTTTAAACGT